TACTTTCCAGATCTCTCTTGGTGGAAGACGGTGGAAAAAGTCGGACGCATTTTCGCGGCGCATCGATTACGGTATTCGGTAATTTTGTGCTCCGCCGGAGCGAGCTGAAAAAAAATATCACCGCGCGTTATTTCGGCGCCGTCGATTCCCATGGTGGAGTGCTCGACCAGAAATGGAAATCAGGATGTGATTGTACCCCGAACTGCATTTGAAGTCTGATTTGTTACTGACGAGAAGAGAATTTATCGATCATATTTCGAGAAATCGTCAAAGATATTTAAAAAAATAATATTACAAATAATATATGTAATATACACATATATATAGATATACATGTGCGTATAAACGAAAAGTATCACAATAGAAAGACAATAAAGGACAAATACCTCTCTTTGTTGATAAAAGGGGGACAAGAGTCGCAGTTTTTTTTAACTTTTGTATCTTGTCAACGAGAGCTCAGTACTGTCCAAATTTCGTGGAATTTTCCATGCTGAAAATTTGTGTTTACCTAACAGGGGTCTGTCAAAGCGAGGGAGAAATGTGTCCGCGAGTTTGGAGAAGGGTCGCTACAAAAGGAAGGGTGAGAATGGGAGGTAAGGATCAAATTCGCCATTCGATTTGCGACTGATCGATCGTGACGCTCGGTAATTCTACACTTCATTGAAGCGGTTTCGTGTTAACGAAGGAAAGAGGGAAAAAAATTCGATTTTTGGATATGCGCATCTCTTGCATCATCTAATAGAGGCTATTACATTGAGTTTGGAAAAAAAACGATAAAACATGTTTTTTGTTGTTTTTTTTTAATGTTTATAATATTGCGCATACAAAATACACACGATACAATATACACGATTTAAATATACCAACCCAAGTTATGTAACGTTATGTAAACTTTTGGCTCGAATAACGAAACTAAAAAATAGACATTAAATAAGTTAATTAAATGGTATACTTAACTGCACGATCAGAACATGACTTTATTTCTGCTCTCTGTCGTATTATCACAGACTTATTACATTGTAAGCTAAAGATGAAGTCTCTTTCGAGTCTGATACTCTCGAAGAATCGAATCGATTAGGTTGGATTCGAATGACATTAAAGTACAATTCCCCATCGTTGTGTGCTTCTTCCACTACTCTCGAGGGAATAAAAAGTGAATCATAGTTGATTGAATTAACGTAACTGGTGTTTTAATAGCGGAAAAGTCTTTCAGGATATTTTCGCAATTTAAAGAAAAGATAATTATATCATTGTTTGTAATAGTATACAGTTGCTCATCCCTATTCCAACATATTTTATAAAACATTTTATACAATTTAAAATTATTCACGCGCTTGACTGCATGTTCTATAATTTCTTCTCGAGGATTTTATTATTTCAATTTTTAAAAATAATCACAATATTTTCAATAATATCTTTCTTCCGAATCTTTTCCGAGAACATTTGTGGAGCTATCGTCAAAGGAGCGTATCCTATTCTATCTCAATTTTTCCTTATGTATTTTTGATCAATATCTAGCAATTGTATCGATGAATTTACCTAGCTGCTAACTTACTTTCACGATCACGAGGTTGAGTTGGGAATGGGCTGTTCTCGATACTCGCCCACTCGATCTCGAGCCTTTGTAAGTCGCGCTGTAAGTCGAGAATGAAGGTACCAAAGACTGCTTGCCTTTACCCCGTCTGAAGAGGCAGAAATAAGAGGGCGAAGGGGCTCCGAACATGCTCCAAGAGCCACGGTCTTGAGGAACTTTAAGGAACAATCGCGCACTAGATATCGCAATTTTTATTTCAGCCGTTGTATTCTCTCGTACAACACTTGATATCTTCAAGTTTATTACGTTATTAGATTAGGTTCTACAATTTCTGTTTTAAAGCGTTTATGAAATGAAAACAGTGCAGCTAAGAATTGTTCTTGTAACTTGGAAGAATAAAATACAATTTTGAAATATCTGTGTAAACATTTTTATTCTTTTTATTGTTCTTTTAGTTATTAATTTAATTATCGATAAATTGATTTCTCAATACGTCTTTTAAAGAAGTAATTAAATGTTATCTATCTATCCGACCGGAAAGCTCATGTTCTCGATTGGTTGGAGATGATCGATGAAAAAATTGGCGGAAATTCTCGTCCTTGTCCTTGTAACTTTGTGCTGCGTCCCGTGAGTCAAGGACGAAAATATCGGAAGCGACATAAAAAATATCCACGCGATTACAAATCTTTCGTATACGATTTGAATAACATTCAGAAACATTTTTCTATTTCTTTTTCACTTGCTCTCTCTCTTCCTTTCTCTCTTTCCCTCTTCTTTTCTTCTTCCTCTTTTATTCAATCTTTTCCCTTTCACTCTTTTCCTCTTTCTCACTGTGTCTTTGGTCGCGCAACCCTCCCAGTTTCTCGGTAATTAAACGGGGGTCGATGTCAATTAAATTATCTCCGCCGTGTTTCACACGTGATGTGACAGTTCCCCAACAATGAGAGATACGCTAGCATAATCGATAGTCGCTCAACTATTCATTAGTCGTAAATGTCACAGTGTAATCGTGCAATAATTGCTAAATTTAATATATTGTATTTATTTGCATTTTAATTATTTAGTTATGATTTATAACATGTAAACTATTTCAGAATCGTAGAATTAATGTACTTTATGTGCCAATTTAAAATTAATAAATTTAAGTTTATCCATCATGAAGAAATTTCAAACGGATAACGAGCTACCTACTATAATAATCACTTTCATTTCATCGTGCGCAAATATAAGAGAATATCTCAAGATTTCAATTAAAGTATTTTTTTCAGTTAACGCGTACGTTTCAACTGTCACAATTCACAAATGTATTATTCCTCTGCTAATAACAGCTATAACATTTAAAATGACGATTTACCATCTCGGATGGATGCTCTCAACGCCGTTTAACTCTTCGTCTCTTTCGCCTCGTTTCCATTTTGCCAGCGGAAAGTATTTCTTCCCATTTCGAAAGCATTTCCTCTCGTCAGAATGGTGATAACAATTAACGAAATACCTCGAATCGGCATGATTGCTGCATTTAATTGCGACATTATTGTTATGGTTTTAATGATCGAAGGTGTCATTTAACCCATTCTTAAAGATCTGTTAAAATGACTGGCTCGGTATGCTTTTCCGGAAACGAATTATCTTTTTATCGAAGTTGATACGAGAAACAAGTCTTGCGGAAATAAGTTGATGTAAAATATTAAATTTTTTCATCCGAAGAAAAACCCGTCCGTTGAAAAGTTAAAATGCGTATCTTCCCGAGTCTTCGCCCAATACTCGGCTTTTTCATTTTCAGTCCTCATTTCCATTTCGAGCGATGGAAAAAGAAGCGTATTCCACCGTTTCGCATTCGATATTTACTGCCGGCCGCGAGACGCCGGCGCAATTTTAAAGAAGCGCCTTTAAGGGCTCTCCTCGCGCGCCCAAAGCGAACACCGGTGGTTTACCCGGGGCTATTTTCAACCCCCCGGGTTCGACAATTCGCATCCCGATGAAAACGTTTGCCGACTAAACGAGACCGCGATTCCGAAGGCGAGTACAAAAAAGTGGAATGAAGGAACGAATGCGAATGAACGAAAGAATGAATCTTCCGTGTCGCGCACCACATCGTTCTTTTTTATGTCTTCTCACATTTTTCCGTGCGCGTTGCTTCGCCATTTATGCGAGTTTGCGTTTACACGGCATCAGGTATGCATAGAGGCAGGAAGCAGCTCAGCGATAATTTGCAAGCGCGTATTGAAAAGAACGTGATCCGACGAAATGAATGTAATTTCGTTTACATATAGGATGTTTCTAGACTTGAAAAAAAAGTCAGTGCTCTTATAATATTACATATGTAGGTATATCTATAATAATTGTATACAGTATAATGTATACAGTGCACATATATACGCATATACATATATCATACATATGTATATCCAATATGTTATTATAGATTTAATCATATTCAGCATTAATTACAAAGAAATGTAGATATGTCTTTTCAATTTATATTATCTGTATATTTGTGCATATAATCAAAATTAAATTCAAATAGCAAATTACAATATATAAATAGAAGAACTCCTTTGTTCTGTCGATAATACAAATTATATGCAACGCATGATATTACGTGAACTGTCGAGTGATGTGTCAAGATCGTATCTGCGCGATTTGCGTTTTCCAATGTCGCTCTCGACAGCGATTTTAAAGACTCAGGAGAAAAAATTGCAACTCACGTGGCGGTTACGACGAGGGTCAGTTGATATTGGATTCGAAACGTACGAGATCGGCAATATCCTTCAGGCCTCTTCCCTTTGCATTCCTCGTCGGAGAAAGGCTCTCTCTTACCGGGCATCTCCGGGATAAAGCCACGAGAGGAGTGGTAGGTTTGCATGCCACGCTGCACGAACGCGCTCGATATTCCGATATCCTGATATCGGGAGTGTTTCTCCTCGCGACATCCTCGCCTCCTCTCTGGGATATACACCCTCTTCATGGAATTTATTATCCGCTCTCAACCTGCGTTCTATGTGCATTCCCGCCTCCTCACCCCTGGCTACGCTGAAAACCCTCGAGGATCACCTTACTGAGGATTCGGCAGTTTCCATACCGCGCTGTTTTTCCACGAGACTTTCTCGAGGGAAGTCCTGATCTAACCGAAGACTCTAATAGTCTTTTCGTTCGTAGGAAAGCCCTCGAGAGCAAAATCTCGTAATCGATTATCGTCGATATTTGAAGCTGATAAAAATTTTACACGCAAAAATGGCCTTCTTTAAACAACTTCGCGAGATGCATTACGTTTACGACGAGCGTCTTTAAAACCATTTGAATTTATCGGTGAGTTAAATTTTTTGATTTAGAAATTATTCAGTCCGTGAGTTTGTAATAAATTTTCCGCGAATTCTTCTGAATTCGAGCTTGTCTACTTGTAACTATTTATCACATCGTAATCCAAAGTGCACTATAATTCATCGGCTCGTTCATCTTATTGTTGCAGAGATCCGCCTGTCGGTATTTCGCGAGCTGATGACCTCGCAAGCAGTCGTGCACTCACCTCCGCATCGATTCGATCGAAGCACCGCAATCTCCCTTCAGTAACGCTGAAGGGTCAGCGCGCGTGGTAGTGGTGGGTCAACGAAAAATGCGATAGGAACGGACGGATACGACTACGAGAGGACGAGGAAGAAAACGGGTGGGTTTGTTGCCCGATGAGAGAGCACCATGTGCTCGATCGTACCGGTCTGGCGGCGGAGGGCTGCGCTCCTCGGCACGATGTTGCTACTATTGTCCTGGGGAACAGACGCGGCGGAGGGCTGTCCGAGCATGTGCGTGTGCAAGTGGAAAGGCGGGAAGGAATGGGTCGAGTGTGCGAATCGCGGTCTCAAAGGATTACCGCAGGGTGCTCGAGAGGAGACGCAGGTGCTCGACTTGTCAGGCAATCATCTCGTCAACTTGCCGTCAGAATGCTTTCGCGCTCTCGGTTTGATCAACCTTCAGCGGCTCTATCTGGGCAAATCTCAAATCAATCGCATTGCCTCTGAGGCGTTCGTCGGACTAGTCGGCCTAGTGGAGCTCGATCTATCTGAGAACAAGATTGAAGAGGTGCCTACGGACACGTTCGCGTCCTACCCGAGTTTAATGAGGCTTATATTAAATGGGAATCCAATCAGGGAGATTCGCCAAGACGCATTTCTCCGACTGGTACATCTAACTACCTTGGAGATCAGCAAGTGCGCGATAGAAGTTATCGAACAGAACGCTTTCGAGGGCCTTCAGTCGCTGGAGTGGCTTCGGCTGGATGGCAATCGACTCACCTACGTGCCAGATCACACTCTGCCGCTGGGGGGAAATCTCCGAGGATTGACTCTTCACAACAATCCGTGGCAGTGCGACTGTAGACTGAGAATAATGCATACCTGGTTGAAGGAGTCTGCTCCGGCGGCGCCGCAGGAGTCCGAACCCGTCTGCGATTCCCCGGGGAGACTGCACAGCAAGCAAATCACGAAACTCAAGGTCAACGATCTAGCCTGCCTACCGCGTATCGATCTTCAAGATCATTTAGAGGTTTACGAGGGCGGGAATATCACTTTGAGATGTGATGTTCATGCGATTCCGACTGCCAAGGTCACTTGGTGGTTCAACGGAGAACCGTGCGAGCTGCAGCACGAAAACAATTCCATGACCGGCAGTATTTCTACATTTCCAAGGTAAGCGAATTTTCAGCTCCTTGTTATGGAATTTCAACAAAACTTTGTCTATGTTTCTCTTGTTTCGAAACGCGTTTTTTTGCATCTATTCTAGGTACATCTATAGACAACGAGGCGGGACCAACATGAGCAGCACGCTGTTCCTCTACTCGATCGAATCGCTCGACGAGGGCACCTACAGCTGTATCGCAGAAAACAGCGCGGGTTCTGCGATGGGAAATCTTTCTCTCCGTGTGTTCTTTCGTGAGAAACCTACCGTGGAGCCACCCTCCGACAATCGCGGTTCTGGCTACGTGGCCGCAATTGTCGCGGGCGCACTGGTGGGCACTCTTTTGGCACTGAGTTGTTTGATAGGTAGTGTGATATACTGCGCAAAGAAACGGCGTCGCGACCGAAAGCGCAATTCGAAAGCGTTGGTGACGCAGAGCAAATCGGTGCTGCCAATCACGAAAGATACCAGCAGTAGTACTTGCCGGAAAGGTAATGGTAGCCTAATCGGCGGTCTCGAGCATCAGCAGATGGTCTCGTATACCGAACGTGAGATCAATCGTGCGACCACTTTGGAACGCCGGGAACACACCAGGAACAATCACCTGGATCGAGATGCGTATTCAGTGGCGAGTCCGGTTGCCAAGTACCTGACTGAACCTGATCTGATCAACGAGGTACCCGAGAATACCGAGGTGGGCTACGGTCAGCTGTATGGACGGCATCATCAGCGTGCCGGCGGCATCGGGCAGATCTTGGAGTACGACTCGGGTTATCCGTTACAGCCCGATTTGCGACCGCCGCCAGTGCTGCCACAGATGAGCTACCTGGATCAGGATGGCTATCCGCTCAATTTTGGCCTGCCCAAGATCACCTTCAGCACCGCCAGTACTCTGCCCAGGCTCCGACAACGTATGTCGGAGCCAGGTTCGGCGGCAGCGCCAGCGGCCAGATACTCGCGCGAGGCGGAATTTCTCGCAAGATCACCGGGATACGATCCCATTTTACCACGAACTGACGCCAGGTACACCGCCGAAGGTTATCCCTATCCGGTGCATCAGCATCAGCATCAGCATCAGCATCAACATCAGCATCAGCATCAACAGCAACAGCAACCGCAGACAATACAGCCACCACCACCAATTCAACCGGTCGAGCAACCAATTCAGCAACAACTACCTATTCAGTCGCCAGTCTCGCCGGTTGCTGTTTTCCCAGAGGTACCCTTCATACCATCACCTCCAGCGGCTTATAGAGGTGAAACTACTCCGCTGTCACCGCGATCTCTCCTCGGCAAAACCGCTCGCGAGGCCGCGGCTGCGGCTGCCGCGAGAGCGGAAGAACTCCAACCGCCGAATCATCCGGAAAGTCCTGACGAAGGTTACGTAGGGGACGCTATGGACGTCTGAAGAAACCGAATCAGACGAAAGTCTGTTATCGGATCTGAAAACACATGAAATACATCCTGGATCTACTGTGAATAAAATTAATATATTATTTGCTTTTCTAGAGTTTAATTTTCATTTATACAGGATTTATCTTGAAGAAAAAGGATCGGATTGATTGATTTTTTTGCGAAAAATGTCATGGTTAAAATTTTTTAAAGATGTGTTTTTTTGAAGAGAACAATTTCATGCAAATTTTTTTCAAAATATAACTACAAGATGTATAGTTATTATTTATTGCTTAATCAAAAAGGATTTTTTATTTTAGGACAACGATTTTTAATTTTAAGTGTTTATACGCGTCTAACAAAGATTCGAATATCTTTAAATTTAAAGTCGTTTTGAGTATAAAAAAATTTGAGAGTAGGGATGTTCTTTATACATTTTCAAATGTGTCTCTGACAAAATCACAAGTTAAGAGAAAAGATTTGTCGCCACTATTTTTGTTCAACATATTAATCCAGCAAACAAAATAGCGACATTTACACATATATTTGCAAATAGTTTTTATAATTTTCATTTATGCGCATCAAGCATAAAGATAAAGAAACGAACAACGAGATATTAGCATCAAGGAGAAAATCTGTCCTCGTCATGCTACCAGATTAATTCGCGGAGAATAACAGGGTCCAGGATGTGATTGGCGGAACAGGGCCACCCGAGACGGCACGAACAAAGGACTCGTCCTAGCGGCGGAGACGTAATAGATTAATCAGAAGGCATGTCTAGATTGTCGTTGTGGTGCGCAGTTCTCGTCAGAGTCGGGAAGGACGGTGGAAGATGTTCGTTAGAACGCGGTGATTCTTGCGTTCACATATTCGAAGGAAATCGACTTCGAAAAATTTACGCGGATCGCGTTTAAATGCGGAGAGTGCTTTTTCGGACACCAAGATGGCGGCCGGATTTATTTAAACGGCGTGTCGCGCTTGTGAAATACGACGACGTCTTTTGGACGCGATCCAAGGAGAAACGTTCGGTCGCGTTGAAAAGGAACCAAGATGGCGTGACTGATCCTTAAAGTGATAGATAAATGTTTGGCGGACTCGATCGAGTGAAACGCGCCTCATGGATCCCGAAGTCGCGCTTTCAGCATCGCGAACAAGAACGTGACTGGTGCTCAAAGCGGCTTCTCCGACGGAATCTGCTACAAAAATGTGAAATTAATTAAATTTAATTGTTCATGTTGATCCTGCGACCGACAAAGTTCGCGATAAACGATGGAACGAGCGATATGGATGTAAAATAGTAATAAACGGAGACTGTCCTTTTTAATTATAAATATTTTGAATATTTGAGAACTTTTATATATTATTTGCTGTGTCTCTTATGACATAATTAGAAAAAAACTTTTGCAGAATTATTATATTAAAAAATATATAATTTCTTCTTGTTTTTTTTTTTTTAACGTGTTATGATTGATATGATCTGGTCGCTTCGATCATATTCTTAATGGCTATTGGATTACTCCGATATTATTTAGAGTTATACAACAGCGTTATATCCCACATGTAATACGTGGTACGGGATTCTCGTAACTCGGAAATCTGCTCAAGCCATTTTTGCACTCTTCCCAGCAACACTTTGCGTTTTGAATTTATAAAATAAATATCGAATCATTTCTATTGAGGACTCTCTCGACCCTGGCATTTCAAGGTGGAGATGCAACTGTAGCGATTCTGCTGTAGTGATAATAATGTTAACTTGGTGTTTAAGACTGGCGAATCGTGCGAGATTAGGAGCACCGCGATGGCGCTCGACCTGATGTACAGAAACCGTTGAACATACAGGATGTTCTGAAAACGGTGTATACCAGACTTGGATCGGAGAAATTTTAAAAGGAAATTTACTTTAAAAACAATTTAATCTTGAAAATATTTACACAAAAGTTAAAAAATCAAGATATTGAATTTTATTCGTCGAAATAGAATTTTATGATTTACTTAAATAATTTTTACCTGATTCACACTTGATTTGTCATAGTTAGACTACTTATTATTTTTATTGAAGAAAATTTGGTTAATTCCAGTTCCTTGGAATGGTATACGTCTCTTCTGGGACGCCCCGTATATCTATATACATATACGTATATATAAATATATATACATATATACATACACATACACGCACACACATACAACACGTATAGATATATACATATTATAAGACGCGAACATTAAACAACACTAAGCGACAAAAAAATTGGTGAAAGTAATTCATTTTTTGAAGGTGTCTCTCTTCGAGATTGCGATTCGAGCTGGCTTCGCTCTCTCAAATAATTGGTCGATCTACAGTTGATAGACATGTAATAAGGTTGATAATCAATTGGTATTGTTTCTATAAAAAAAGTGTAATATTTGTACAAGTTTGCGCATTTCAATCATTCAGAAAATATTGATGAGTTGATGACAAATTATCATAACTGCAAAGTGGCGCCGGATGTGATGGAAGAATGCGCTCTGAGAAAGCGTCAAATCCTAGAGGCTCCTTTCATCGTCAGAAGTACCCGGCGACGAGGAAACTGGTTTCCTTTCCGTTGCCGTAATCACGACGCGATTCACGGATGAACAGTGTTTGCCTTCCAGTCTGGCGACTCGCAAGGATATAGAATCCTGCCTGTGTCCTTTAAGCTTCGTCGTCGAGGTAACTCGAAATTTGTCTTCGCCTTCGAGTTTCGTATATAACAATATTTCATCTTGTTCCGGGGCAAGTAATTTATTTACATTTTGAGAAATTTTAGACAAAACGAGGATATTTGGAACAAGAAGTGAAGAGAAATTCTTAATACGCCAGGAAATTAAAAAAATTGAAATTAAAATTATTATCTTTTTCTTTGTGTGAAATATAAATATACTTATAAGCATTAATATTTTTTTAAAGGAAGGCCATTATAAATTTGAAAAATCGCGAATAATAATCAAAATACATTTAAATTTGATTGCACGTTTTTAGAGTCGCCAACTTTCCAAATTCGAATTATATCGAGTTTCAAACGTAATTTTACGCACTGACGAAATTTTGCAAAAGGAGTTCTATATTCGTCGTTTCATTTAATTAGAACTTTTTAAACGAGCTTGCCAACGAGAATAACTTCAACGCGTGCGGTCAATTCTGCGAATTTCGATTAATTTGCCCTGAATGAGTAGACTATTAGATGCGTGTTTTCAATAAAAACGCAACAGAAACGCGGTGTTTAGAACTTTCATAAACGTTTAATCAAATTCGAATCGATACAAATTATCAGATTCGAATTTGACTACCATCATTACAGAGCATCCAACAAGATCATTTTGGAAAAATTATTTCTTATTTTATATACTTATTATTATGTATATATATTAAAAGTTTTTTTAATTTCTTAGTATTTTTATTGTATATCTTAAACTGAAAAAAGACAAAGAGATATGAAATGCCGTTTAGATATTTAAATATTGCGCTGAGAAGTGTTTCGGAAATGAAATAGAATTAGAAAACTCATACCGTTTCATGTAATCGCTATTTCCGTAAAGAACTTTCTTAAAAGACTTTGCTTGTGGTTAAATAAATAACATCATTAAATCAAATTAAATTATTTCGACGAAATGCAATGTATTTCCTAACGATGAATTTTTTAAAAGTAATTATTTCACTTTGTACATTAGAAAGATTAGAAACAGATAATTTTACATTTTTAAAGAGAACTGATTTTTTAAGATTATATTTTTTATACATAAAAATTTTTTATAGACCTCTCCAGATGCTTCATGCATATTTATTCGTATCGATTAAAATCTGGTGAAAGAAAAATAAAAATCCAACACATTCGAAACAATTCCTTTTTTGTGAAAAAAATTCTAAACTAGGAAGTTGATTTTTTTTTTAGTTTTTACTTCGACGCCGTGCTTTCAGAGATTCGTTTTTTTGTAGATAAAAATTTATCATCGCAATCTGTCGCTTCCTTCTTCGTGTGTATTTATTTTCGTAGAATTGACGAACGAGCGGTTAAACGCGGGAACAAGAAAAACACTAGCAAAGTTTAACGATCTTGCTCGCAGGCGATATTGCATTCGCTGGTTTGCGGCTCGTCTGAGTTAAATGCATTCCTCTTTTTCCATCGATCCCTTTTTATTTCTTATTTATTCCTTTTCGCCTGCGCGCGCTAATTATAACCACGGCCGCGAGCTTACTCGGTAACGATCTCGCTTTTTTTGTGGAAACGCGACGGAAAGCTTTTCCGGATTTTCCTCGAGAATCCGCGGAGACACGAAATATATTTTTCGAAATGTATTTTATAAGAGGAAATTATACGAATGGAGTTATCTTTTCGTACAGACAATTCTCGATTGTTTCAATGACTTTCGCGACTTTTAATATTTTCGGTGTAGATGGAAAGCTACAGGAACAAAATTCCGCTCTGATAAATCGGTCGAATTAAATTTTGCAAGGAAATCATACGCGCGGAATTTCATCATATAAAGGCTTAGCGTCCCGAGATCGGTCGTGAATATTAATCGGCTTTCCTCTCGCCGACTCGCCTAGCGCAGTGAAACATTCGCGCCAGGGAAAATCTCACGAGGAAGGCAACCCGTCCTATTAACTTCCCTCGCATTCACAACGTGCTGCTACGATGCTTTCCAGTAAATGTAATCACACGTCGATGCATTAATCAGCCGCTCGACGAAACTCATGGTAACTCCATCCGTCGGATATGCACGTCAGTTAGAAGTTAGGGGCAGCGACGGTGGGACGGTAGGGTTTCTTGGTTAAATGGAAAATGTCTATTGGAAATTATTGTATCTGTTTGTTATATATTTAAATATTTCACATTTTAATCTCGTTTGCATCTGGCAATGTTTGCTTAAAAAAATCAGATAATGCACAAATAGCCAACTGATCTTGTTCATTCGTTTGTTTATAGCGTGTTAAAAAAAAAATATTTTATCGTCGAGTTTACATGAATTTTCATGTTGTGAGATCGATCAAGAAAGAGTGTATGTGATGGGAAGATAGCGAAAAACGAGAGAGAGAGAGAGAGAGAGAGAGAAAAACATTAAGTATACACGAGAAAATGAGGGCCAAAGC